CATGTCCAACTCTTTGCATCCCCATGGACGATAGCCTGCAAGGCTCCTCTGTCCATGAAATTCTCCAGGCAAGAATACTGGAGTGGGTTGCCATTCCCTTCTCCAGGGGATCTTCCCAAATCAGGGATCAAACCCAGGTCTCCTGCCTTGCAAGCAAACTCTTTACTGTCTTTACCTTACCAGGGGAGTTTAGTGAGCACATGTGACATGTCAATGTAGGTGCAGGGGCTCTAGCAAATAACACGAAAATCCAAGTCTCTCTCTCTTTCCTCAGGGAATTGTTAACTTCTAGAAGATGAGACTGACTTAAAGCAGACAGCGTACAGAATAGACAAGAGGACCTCCACTAGTGATAAATGCCACAAAGCAAATTAAACAAGGAAATAGGATCAATAGTGACTGGCAGGGGCTGCTTCACATTGGGTGGTCAGAGAGGGCTTCTTGGAGGAGGTGACTTCTGAGAGTCGGTCATGGGAAGCTGTGGGGAGATGTGTTCCTAGCAGAGGGAGCGGCAGAAACAATGGCCTTGAGGTGAGAGCGAGCTTGACAAACTCCAGTAGCTATCAGACGTTGCCTCTGACAATGAGTCCTCCTACCCAAGGGACAGCTCTGAGAGGAGAGGGACTCACAGATTTTTTTTGTTATTGTGATTATTTGCTTTGTTTTCCATGGATCCTTCATCCTCCAGAACTGCCTGGCACATAATAGGGTTCATAATAACCATGCATGCATGCTAAGTCTCTTCCATCATGTCTGACTCTTTGTGACCATATGGACTGTAACCCGCCAGGTTCCTCTGTCTATGGGATTCTGCAGGCAAGAATACTGGAGTAGGTTGCCATGCCCTCCTCCAGGGGATCTTCCCAACCCAGGGATTGAACCTGCATCTTTTATGTCTCCTGCATTGGCAGGTGGGTTCTTTACCACCAGCGCTATTATGAGGGAAACCCTCATAATAACCACATGTGGAATAAATAAGAGTTGGCAGTCCAGTGGTTAAGACTTCCTGCTTCACTGCAGGCGGCACCAGTTTGATCCCTGGTCCAGGATCTAAGATCCCATGTGCCTTAAAAAAAAGAAAAAAAAGCTGTATCTTCCAGGGATCCATAATACTTGCGCATCATTTCTCCAGGTGGGCATGATGTCCACGTTGCACAATCATTTCAGGGCATCCATGGTCTCTTGCTATCAATCTTTGGATTCCAGGTAAAGAACCCCCTCTTTTCTCCAAATTTGGAGGGCCCACATCCTTAGGGACTTCCCAAGTGGCACTAGTGGTAAAGAACCCGCCTGCTAGGAGACACAAGAGATGCAGGTTCGATCCGTGGGTTGGGAAGATCCCCTGGAGGAGGGCATGACAACCCACTTCAGTAGTCTTGCCTGGAGAATTCCATGAACAGAAGAGCCTGGTGGGCTACAGTCCGTGGGGTCGCACAGAGTTGGACACGACTGAACCAACTTAGCATGCACGCAAGCCAGTCCTTAGAGTCCCCAGCTATTTCTCTCTTGGGAGTGGAGCCAGGTTGCCTGGGCATGGCCTCCTGGCTACTAGCTGGTAACCCTGTGAAGTGACTTTATGCTTCTGCATGCCCTCATCTCCCCCTCCATAAAATGGAGATAATATCTGCACTTACCACATATGGTTGTTATGAGACCAGGTGAGAAATGTGCAAAGGATTAAGAACATGCGTGGGACACTATGCAAAGTGTTAGCTGCAATCATCATCAGGGCTTGTTACTGAGATTAAGAGACTAGGTCTGTCAGAGCCTGACATGCAAGACAGGCTAGAAAATTATTGAATGAGCTGGCTGCTCATGAGGCTCGGTCAGGTCGCCTACCTTTTTAATTAGATTGTATTAGATTCTCTTGTGCCTCTGTTTCTGCCTCAGGCAGATCTGTGTCCTTCACTGGACTGTTTCTCCTTTTCTTTCTGTTTCTCTGTCCCTCTCTCGGACTTTGAATCCCAGTCCTTCTGTATTTTTCTGACTTTCTTCTCTGAATCCCTGTTTCTTGCCTCTCTAGATCCCTCCCGCCCTTTCTGTCTTTACCTCTGTCTACAACTGTCTTCATCTCTAAACATCTCTGAGTGTGTGTCTCTCTCTAGCTCTGTCTCTTCTTTTCTCTGTACGTCTCTCTCCATCTCTGGCTCCGTCTCTCCCTCTGTCTTCGTGCGTCATCTTGTGTCTTGTGTCATCTCCTGACACATCTTCTCTTCCCGTGTCCCTGTGTGCGTGTGTGCTCAGTCGTGTCCGACTCTTTGCGACCCCATGGACTATAGCCCGCCAGGCTCTCTGTCCATGGGATTCTCCAGGCAAGAATACTGGAGTGAATTGCCATGTCCTCCTCCAGGGGATCTTCCTGACCCAGGGATCGAACTCACATCTCCTGTGGCTCCTGTATCAGCAGGTGGATATTTTACCACTGTGCTATCCTGTTCCTCTGTGTCCTAGCTAGTCATTTGCTCCCACCTCCCTGCCTCACGTCCTCCCCCCCACCTCTCTCTTTTCGTGTCTCTGACACTTTGTCTCTTTCCTTCCCTCCTCTTGGCTCTTTTACTCTCTCTCTCTCATCCTCTTGCTTCCTCACTGCCCCCTCTCTGCCCCTCTGCCCCTCTGCCCACTGCACCTCTTTCTCTTGCTCTGAAATCACTCTCACTCCCTTCTTAATTATGTGTGGGTTTATTTTTTATTTATTTATTTTTTTTGCCCAGCTAAATCCCCATCTGGCTCACTGCCCACAGGAGGAAATAAGATGGAGCTGATTATGTAACCATTCGTTATGAATTCAAAGGGCTGAGGGAGGAGGCGGCGGCTTGGAATGAACATTTTCTTCCTTCTCACCTTTCTTAGCCCAGTCCTTTGTCCTCAACCCATCAACTAGGCCTCTGACCCGCCTCTCCCAGCTCCATAGAGATCAGATTACTGGCCCCCTCACCTGGAGACAACCAGAGACTTAACCGGACACAGACTGGAGGGAGTGGGGGTGGGGGAGGCGGTGATGCTCAGAGGAGGAGGCTGAGGCTGCAGGCGAAAGAGCTTCCCAAGAAAGACAGGCAGGCACTCAGGCTCTCCTCTGGCCCCTAGGAAAGGTACAAAGTCAGAGAAACAAGGTGCGGATGGAAATTTGGGGGAACCATCCAGTGCAGCTGGCTGAGATCTAGGACATCCAGTTTCTGAGACCAGAAACCGAGACCTTTGAGGACAGAAGCAGAGAGGCCTGGCTCCTCCCCACCCCATTGGTTTGGGGCTTCAACAAGGGAGAAAATGCTTTGCTATTTGCCTCCTTCCTGGGCTTCCCTGGTGGTCCAGCCAGTAAAGCATCTGCCAGCAATGCAGGAGACCTGGGTTCGATCTCTGGGTTGGAAAGATCCCCTGGAGAAGGAAATGGCAACCCACTCCAGTAGTCTTGCCTGGAGAATCCCATGGACAGAGGAGCGTGGTGGGCTACAGCCCATGAGGTTGCAAGAGTCGGACACAACTGAGCAACTAACACACTGGAGGTTCTTAGCCCGCATGGTGCTGCTGAACATTCTGGAGGTCACCGCCCCCACCCACCAGAGGAATATATCAGCACCTTATCCTCCCAACAACTATGCTTAAGCAAGCACCTCACTCACAATCTCACTACTTCTTGCCCCTTCTGATACACGCCAGCTGGTCCCATCCATTTCCCCCCACGCGCAGGGCAGCCCGGGGAAAGGAGACCTAGCAAGTCACCGGTGGAAGAGAGTTCCTGAGGACCAAACTGGCGTGCTAATCCTCACCCTGCCCCCTGAGAGCCCCCTGGCCTTGGGCAAGTCTCACTGTGTTCGGGCAGGTAATGGGGATGACCGCAAAGAGGCGAAGATCTACGGGACTGTGAAAGTAAAAAACTTGGCACCGGGGGGCTTCCCTGGTGGTCCAGGGGTTAAGAATCCGCCTTGCAATGCAGGGCATGCAGGTTCAATCCCTGTGTCAGGGAATTAAGATCTCACATGCCTCAGAGCGACTAAGCCAATGAGCTGCAACTACTGAGGCCCTCACTGCAACTAGAGTCCATGTGCTGCAAGGAAATTTTCCGCATGGCACAACAAAGATCCCGCATGCCACAACTAAGATGCAATGTAACCAAATCAACCAATAAATCAAACAACTTAGCACAAAGCTGGGGCAGAGGAGAGGCTCAGGAATATGCAATGTCCCACTCTTCTTTTCTGCCTCCCCCGCTGGTCCAGCACCCAACTGACAATCCATGCTGTTGTCTGTCCACTCACTGCTTGCCATCAGCCCCAGTCTATGCTCAGCCTGACTCTAGCCATCAGCCCCACTTACGGCAAATTCGTCCCTGAGGACAGATTTGAAAGTGCTGAGGATAGGTTGTTGAGTGATAGTGATGACACCATGCTCATAGATTTCAATACATTTAATCCATACAACAACTTTTCGAGGGAGGTGCTTTTTTTTTTTTAACGACTGCACCAGACCCCAGCAGTGAAAGAGCCAATTCCAAGACCACCAGAGAAGTCTCAGGGAGGTACTTTTATTGGTATTCTCATTTTTCAGAAATGAAAACAGAGGTACAAAGAAATGAGGTGTCTTGTTCAAGATCACATGCACCAGGAAAGTTGCAGAGATGGGACTTCCTTGGTGGTGCAGTGTTTAAGACTCTACCCTTCCAGTGTAGGGGGCATGGGTTCAATCCCTGGTCAGAGAACTAAGATCCCATATGCCCTGTGGCACAGCAAAGAAAAGAAAGAAAGAATGCTGTAGAGGCTGGACTTGAACCTGGTTCTTCCTGACTCTACAAAGATCCTGGGACTCAGCTTCCAAAACTCAAACTGTTGTAAAACCCAGAAGAGTGAAAGTGTCAGTCTCTCAGTCATGTCTGAATTTTTGTGACCCCGTGGACTGTAGCCCGCCAGGCTCCTCTGTCCATGGGATTCTCCAGGCAAGAATACTAGAGTGGGTTACCATTCCTTCCTCCAGTGGATCTTCCCAACTCAGGGATCGAACCTGGGTCTCCTGCATCGCAGACAGATTTTTTACTGTCTGAGACACCAGGGAAGCCCTCCATGCTCTCAAAGAATAAAATTGGAGTGTGTGGACATGAATGAGGAGGGGACTGGAGGGACAAAGTGGAGAGAACCACCTCATGAGCTCGGCACTCAATGGTCATTCAGAGGAAGGACTAGAAGTTATATAAACTCCACAGCATGGTAAGCTCCCAAGTGAGATCCAACCCCCAGGAAATTTAATCTGAAGGTATTCAGGTTACCGAAGAAGCTGAGTCCCAGGACCTTTGTAGCCAGGGCCCATGGCCAAGGTTAATTCCTTCTTCCTGGTTACACAGAGATCTGAGAGGTCTGCAGCCTCTTCCTGTTTGCCACGTGTCCATCCTGGTGATCTTCACATTCTGGAGGCACATGAACAAAAGCGTCAAGATACCCAAAAGTATCTGTCTCTGCTATGTCTGGCACTGGGACCCCACTCCCCATCCCAGGCTTTCATAATGAGGAGTGCATTAGCTAGATATCAACTCTGCTCTTTGCAGAGTGTTTTCCTTTGTTTCATTATCAGCCTCGAGTCAATCCCTGTGGTAGACACTGTGAGTTGTTCCTCCATGTTCCTCCCTCCTTTCCTTGGTGATAGAACATTAAATCTGAGCTCAGCCCGAGATCATCCAAAATGGGTATTTCTCTGGTGTCCAGTGGTTAAGACTCCACCCTGCCAATGTAGAGGGTGTGTGTTTGATTCCTGGTCTGGGGACTAAGATCCCACATACTGTACAGTGCAACCAAAAAAAAAAAAATTCTTATCTTTTAGGACTTCCCTGGTGGTCCAGTGGTTAAGACTCCAAGCTCCTAATGCAAAGGCTTGGGCTCAATGCCCTAAGATCCCACTTGCCACTTGGCCAAAGAAAAGAAATGAAAAGAAAAAAGATCATCCAAAATAAAGACTATATTTCCCAGACTCCCTTGCCACTAGGCAGACACTGAGACTGGGAGTGAATAAGATCTGAGGGCAAGCCATAGCTACCACTTCCAGGCTGTGCCTTCCATTCCAGTCCAGTGTCCCATCACCCCACTGGTTGGAACACAGACCCAGCACATGAGCTGGTAAGCCATCTTCACTCATGAGGATCAGGGCAATGCACTGGGAAACCGTGGCGCTAAAGCAGAAGAGATCTGTGTTCTTGGTACTAGAACTGCCATATCAACCTCTGAATGCTTGCACTCAGATTGACACTTTGGAGATAGACTATTATTTTTCTGAAGCCACTGTTGTTTTGAGGTCTCTGATACAATCAGATACAATATCCTGTCCTCTTATGACTTCCTAATTGAACACTCCTCCCAACCGAAAGTCTATAGGAAGTAACCTCACAGAGGATTTCCAGTCTCAAATTCATCCATTCATCACCAACTACCCATGTGTCAGTTTCAAAAAGCCGTCTCTCTCCAGGGTGGTTAAATCAGCCCTTCCTTCTTCAGTCTATCATTCAGGCACCCTTTCAACTATTCACATCCAACCATCCGATTATCTCAAATTCTAGTTATGTACCCTTCCGAAAGCATCCATCCTTTAATCCTTTGTCCTCTGATACATTCATCCATCCCTCCCTCCTACAATGCATCCATTTAACCATCCATTCACTCTTCCATCATTGTGTCCTCTTATCCACTTATCAATACATTTATTTATTCATCCTTCATTAACTAGCACATTCAACGTTTCACCCATTTGCCTTCTTCCCATTTATTTATCCATTGATCCATTCTCATCCAATGATTCCTCTTTCTGTTTGTCCACCCATGCAGCTATTCATCTATCTATCCTCCCATCTATTAATTTTTCTTTCCATCACTCTATCATGCATCCTTCCATTCAGTCCTTACTTTGATCTGTATTTACCAGCTTGGACTCCTCTAAACATCCACTTCCCCTCTATCCATGTCATCCTCATCAGGAAATTCCACACTGGTTGATGCATTTTTCCCTTCTTCCTAGTCTAACTTTCTCAATAATTTCTGCTCTATTAAGTTTTTTCTTTTGAAACAAGAGGTTGAGTTCTGGTCCCCTTGTCCAACTTAAGAAGAAAAGGGGAAAGGAGGAGAGGAACAATGAACTGGGCCTTTATGGGGAGAGAAAATAGCAGGAAGCCTCAGGAATGGACTTCCATGCAGTTCCAGATTTTGTTATATTTAGAACCAAGTACTTACATTTTCTGGGTGCTAACTTACATATTATTTAAAATTTTTTGAGGTTCCACTTTTTCATTGTTGTTATACAAAAATACATTTGACTTTTGTATGTTGACATTATAGTCTGCGACCTTGCAAAACACACTTATTAGCTCCAGTTTTTTGTGTAATTGAGGGTTTTCTACAGGGACATCCATATCATCTGTAAATAAGGATTTCTTATGTAATAAGTATTTCTTCCTTTTTAATCTATATGATTTTTTTCTTGACTTATTGCACAAAGTAGACAATGGGCACATGAAAAGATGCTCAGCACCACTAATCATCAGAGAGATGCATATCAGAATCACAATGAGATATCACGTTACATCTGTCAGAACGACTATCATCAAAAAGCCTACAAATAACAAATGTTAGAGGGGATGTGAAGAAAAGGGAACCCTTGTACACTGTTGGTGGGAAAACAGTGTGGAGGGTCCTAAAAAAAATAAAAAATAGAACAACTATATGGTCCAGTAGTCCCACTCCATGGGTATGTATTGAAAGAAGATGAAAATACTAATTTGCAAAGACATATGCATCCCAGTGTTCACAGCAGCAGTTTTTAATAACAACCAAGATATGTAAGCAACCTAAGTGGCCATCAACAGATGAATGGACAAAGAAAGTGTGGCATATATACACAGTGGAATATTGCTCAGTCTTAAAAAGAATGAAATTCTGCCATTTCAACAGAATGAATGGACCTAGGAGGTATTATACTTAGTAAAGTAAGTCAGAGAAGGACAAACACTCTTTGATATCACTTTTATGTGAAGCCTAAACATAAAACAAATGAATAAGTATAACAAAACAGAAACAGACTCACAGATACAGAAAAGAGAGTACTAGTTACCAGAGAAGGAAGAGGGTGGGGCAAAGTAGGGGTAAGGGATTAAGAAATACAAACTGCTATGTATAAAATAAGGAAACAACAGGATAGATTATACAGCACAGGGAAATATAGTTATTCTTATGTAATAACCGTAAATGGAGTATAATCTATACAAATATTGAATCACTATTGTACTTCTGAAACTAATATGATATTTTAAACCAAATAAACTTTAATTTAAAAAGAGAGAAAGAAAAAGCAAACTAGAAAGAGATATGATTGAACTAAGCCACAGATAGGGGAGACCTTTCAATTTAGAAAGGAATTGGGACCTCCCTGGCGATCCAGGGGTTAAGACTCTGTGTTTCCTCTGCAGGGGGCATGGGTTGACCCTCAGTCTGGTAACTAAGATCCCACAAGTCATGTGGTATGGCTAAAAAAAATTTTAAAGCGAGGAGTCACTAATGATTGCAGCGCTGTGCTTAGTCGCCCAGTCGTGTTTGAGTCTTTGTGACCCCATGGACTGTAACCTGCCAGGCTCCTCTGTCCTTGGGAATTCTCCAGGCAAGAATACTAGAATGGGTTGCCATGCCCTTCTCCAGGGGATCTTCCCAACGCAGGGATCAAACCCAGGTTTGATCAGCAGGCAGATTCTTTACCATCTGAGCCACCAGGGAAGCCCAAGAATACTGGGGTGGGTAGCCCATCCCTTCTCCAGGAGATCTTCCTGACCCAGGAGTCAAGTCAAGGTCTCCTGCATTGCAAGTAGATTCTTTACCAGCTGAGCTACCCGGGAAGCCCCCCTAATGATTAGCAATGCAAGAATATTCACACTTTTTTTTGACAGGGAGCTGATAATCAAATTATCAAGCTTATCTGTCTTGGAAATGATCATAATAGAATGCCAGATAATTTGAGAGCTGTAAACACATTTGTGACACTGTAACTAGACCTGTTCAGATCTTAATCATGTACTGTGACAAATGTAGCTTTGGAAAGGGAAGATATTTGGAGTTCTCTGGGATTAGTAGATGTGGTGAAATGTTGTGGGAATATGATAAATAAGTTCCTGTGTATATATTGAAACATGGGTCTTACAGATCTGTGAAACTGAGTAGGGGAGGTAGGTGAATGGGAGTATCTGTGTCAGGAGAGTCTGGGCGTGGGGACCAACTATGTGAACATACTGAAAGGAGAATAGTTGTAATTAGAGAAAGAGGGTCTCTGATCATTGATGTGTGAGGGCATATCCAGGTAATACATAGACTCAGTATTTTCCCTTCAAGAGAAGCATGCTTAAGAATTTGAAATTCAGAGAATACAGATCTAAGTTTAAATTTTAGCTATGTCATTTTATAACCAAGTTGTTTTTTTTTTTTTAATAAAGATGTCTGAACCTAAAAAAACAAACAAAAAATTCTTGTAAAATTTGTTTTGTGGAGCTGAACTCCTGAACTTTTGCTTATCTGTAAAACTTTTGCTCTCTCCATAAAGTCTGAATGAAAGCCTTGCTGGGCAGAGTATTCTCGGTTGTAGGTTTTTCTTTTTCATCACTTTAAATATATCATGCCTTTCCCTTCTGTCCTGCAGGGTTTCTGCCAAAAGTCAGCTGATAGCTTTACAAGAGTTCCTTGTAATTTGTTGCTTTTCCTTTGCTGCTTTTAATATTCTATCTTCATTTTTAACTTTTACCATTTTAATTAGAATGTGTCTTCTTGTGGTCCTATTTGGGTTAATCCTGTTTAGGACTCTCTGTGTTTCCTGGATCTGGATATCTGTTTCCTTATCCAGGTTAGGGAAATTTTCTGTCCTCAAATATGTTCTCTGCCCCTTTCTCAATTCTTTCTTCTGGGACCCTTATAATGCAAATATTAGTACACTTGATGTTGTCCTAGAGGTCTCTTAAACTGTCCTCAATTTTTAAAATTCTTTTTTCTGTTCAGCTCCAGTGATTTCCACTACTCTGTCTTCCAATTTGCTGATCTGTTCCTCTGTATCATCTAATATACTGTTGACTCCTTTTAGTGAATTTTTAACTTCAGTTATTATACTATTCAGCTATGTTTGGCTTTTTTTATATTTCTTAACTCTGTTAAAAATTTCTAGCTTCTCACTCTGTTCATCCAGTCTTCTCTTGAGTTCTTTGACCACCTTTTATCATCATTGACATAAACACTTCATTGGTAGATTACTTATCTCCACTTCCCTTAGTTGTTCTAGGATTTTATCTTGTTCCTTCATTTGGAATATATTCCTCTGTCACCTCATTTTGCGTAACATGCTGTTTTTTATTTCAATGTACTTGATAGGTAGGTTATGTTTCCCAACCTTGGAAAAGTGGTCTTTTGTGGGAGACATCCTATGCATCCCAGCAAGATACTCCCTATGGTCACCAGTACTGTATGATCTAGGGTGCTGGCAAGTACCATTTTGAAACCCTCCCTCTAGTTTATTAGCTTCAGGACCCAGATCTGCCTCCTGCCATCAGACTTTAGGCACCATTACTGGGACTTCCCACATGACGCAAATAATTGGGTGGGGAAACAACCCACTACTTTGAGTAATACTTTTCAGCCATTATTTCTTCTAATATTTCCACTGTCCCATCATCTCGTTCTTCTTCTGATATTCCAGCATGCACATCACACCATTTGATAGTAGCATAACTCTATCTTAGTGTAACCACTAAGAAGATTCTTCTATCCCTGTGGAAGAAAGGACAGGATAAAAAAGGAGGGAGGAGAGAGGAAAAGGAAAAGTAGTGGTAAGGGGAGATGAGAGGGAGAGAAGGAAGGAAGAAAAAAGGAAGACATGAAAGGGAGAGTCTTTGAAAGAGGGAAAGAGAGAGAAAGGGAATATAGAGAGAAACAGACGAGGAGAAAAGAGAAGGGGAATGGGAGGAGGGGAAAGGTGAAGGGAGAGTTAGGAAAGAAGAAAGAAGAGGAGGGAAATTTTTTAAAGATAATTCTCAAAATGATTAAAAACCTAATTCTCAAAATATGTGCTGCACATGTGTCAAGATTATTTAATTCATTAATGAGGGAACTAGGTGTAAAGAAAGCTGGTCCATCTGGAGAAGGAAATGGCCACCCACTCCAGTATTCTTGCCTGCAAAATTCCATGGACAAAGGAGCCTGGAGGGCTACTGTTCATGGGGTCACAAAGAGTCAGACACGACTGAGCAACCAAGCATGCATGCACATCCCACAGACACACTTACACATATGCTTTGCAAATGTTTGGCATTGTTTGCAACAGTAAAAAATAGAAAACAAAAATGTCTACCAACGGAGAACTGGCTTAATAGACTATATATCAACACAGTATAGCATGCAGAAATAGTATTCAGCTATAATAAAAAGTAAGGAAAATTTCCTTATTGAAATGGCAATATTAATATCCCCAAGATATATTATTAAATGAAATATGCAAGGTGAAGAGCAATATGTGTATGTATATATAAATATAAATTTTGTAAAAATATACAATGAATTTTATGTAAGAAGGAGAATAAGACTATCCATATTTGCTTATATTTGCATAATGTCACATTGGAAGGATAAACAGAGGATTTAAAAAAACAGTTGTCTGGGGAAACACAGGTGAGAGTGAGGCTTTTCTGTGTTTTTCTTCTTTTTTGCATTTTTAAGAGTTTTGTTTTGAACAGTCTACCTATTTTTAAAATAATGCTGAATAATACCCAATGTTGTTTTAGCATTTATTGATATCATAAAATTTGTTTATTAGTTATTTTATGATTAATTATTTTAATAAAATATTTTATATGTTAAAAAAAAGAAAAGAAAGCTTGTCCCCAAGATAAATGAAACACTAGGATTTTTATAGTCCAAAAATGTGGGAAGGAAATACTGAGTTAACTACAAAACCAGCTAATGTCTAATTTTATTGCATTTTTTAAAATCTGGGGGGAATGTCACCTTCTCTAACAAACAGAAAAAGATAGTCATCGTGAGTTAACAGTTTTATAGAATTGTAAAATGCTTAGACCTTGATCAACTATGTAAACAAAATGACATCCTATTTTGAAATGTGATTATCGGGAAATCCATGGCTAATTCATTTCAATGTATGACAAAAACCACTGCAATGATGTAAAGTAATTAGCCTCCAACTAATAAAAATAAATGGAAAAAAAAACAAACAACAAAAAAAGAAAAGTGATTATCTTTAAATGGACCTGTAAGAAAATGAAAAAGGCCCATAATTACTTTTTAAAAATTTCCATGTTTTGGATAATTTTTCTTGGCAGAAGGGAAGCATTTCAGAGGCCCCATTCACTGTCCTTTTCACTCTCCAATAGAAGAATGATCCCTATATCAAACTCAGTCCCTAGATTTTGGTTCCCTTAAGTTTGGAGGGGTTTTGGTTTTGTGTGGTTGGTTGGTTGGTTTTGTTTTGGAACTGGGAAAAACAGCTATGCACTACTGGCTGTACCTTCCTACTCTCACTAAAAACATCTAGGAGGAGGTAAAAGATTGAAGGCAGGAGGAGAAGGGGATGACAGAGGCTGAGATGGTTGGATGGCACCACCGACTCAATGGACTTGAGTTTGAGCAAGCTCTGGGACACGGTGATGGACAGGGAAGCCTGGCGTGCTGCAGTCCATGGGGTCGCAAAGAGTCAGACATGACTGAGCAACTGAACTGAACTGAAAGGAAATTCTGCCCTTCTCCCCATAGCTTCCAACTTTTTAAATGCTGATCCCCACTCTCCACTGGAAGAATCCATAGAGAACTGAAAACTTGTATGTGTTAGTCACTCATTGTATCTGACTCTTTGCAACCCCACAGACTGTAGCCTGCCAGGCTCCTCAGTCCATGGGATTCTCTAGACAAGAATACTGTCTTGTATCGGGTGGGTTGCCATTTCCTCCACGGGATCTTTCCGACCCAGGGATTAAACCTGGATCTCCTGCATTGTGGGCAGATTCTTTACCATCTGAGGTGGCTCAGATTGAAAATGTAAAATTATAGAATGCTGGAATCCTCAAACATTACAACAACAGATTTGGAAAACCACAGAATCTTAGAAAAATGGCAGCTTGGAGAAGCCATTTAGCCATTTAGCCAAGACTGAGTCTTGGAACTCAGTCTTTAGTTCACCCTTCATAGCATAAAACACCTTTTATAATGAGTCTTCTTAGACTGTGCACAAAGATCTCCCAGACTCACTTATCTTGCCTCCCTGGGGAAAAAAAAAAACAACACAATTCTAACCATCCTCCCTTCTGCTGAATCCAGAAGAATACTTTCTCTCTCCAACCTGTCTGAATGGGAAGACCAAACTCACAACCGTCACCATCACAGATGATTAAGAGTCTAGGGACTTCCCTGGTGGTCCAGTGGTTAAGACTCCATGTTCCCAGTGCAGGGGTTCTGGGTTTGACTCTGGCCAGGAAACTAGATCCCACATGCTGCAACTAAAGATCCTGCAGCTCTTACTACAAATAAGACCCAGGGCAGCCAAATAAATTTTTTTAAAGTATCTAATCCTGAATGGGTGTAAGTGTGTGCATTGGGAGGTGGTCAGAATGTAAAAAAGAGGCAAAAGATGTGGGAGTTGAAAGAAGCAGCCTAGAGCTTACTCTTACTCCATGAAAGCCGTTCTAGCAGCAGATCCAAGATGGAGAAGGTGGTGCTGTGTGAATCACTCAGTTTTCCCAGAGTTCCTACCATTGTGATCACAGGACCCCTCAGCCTAGACAGCCAAGTCTTAACCCAAATCTACAGGCTTCCTAGGAGATTCAATTTCCAAGCCTGAGAATCAACATACAGGATAAGGGTTTTGAGTTGTATTTAATAGCATGTGTAGGTAGAATATAATTCCCAGGAATTTTGTTTCAGGTCAGTAAAGAAAATTTATAAATATTTGGTGCAAAAGGATGGAAAACCATTATGTAGAGTATTACAGAGAGCAATCACTCGGTCATGTCTCTAGAGATGATGAGACTGGGTCTCAGAGGTGGTTCCTACATCTCAAACTTGGAAAATGAAAACACACACACACACACACACATGCATGCATGCACGCACACACCCACCAGTAAAGTTCTGATAAAGTAACACAGGTAAACTTGGGTTATTATTATTTAATATTATCTTGAGTAAAAACAGTAGGACTTGTTGAATTAAACCCTTTCAATTGGGTTGTTTCTTTTACTGTTCTAAATTTGCATTTTTCTCTTTTTTAAAAAAAGAACTAATTAATTAGGATCTGGCAAAGAGAGAGGGGGCTTCCCTGGTGGCTCAGATGGTAAAGAATCTGCCTGCGATGTGGAAGACCTGGGTTTGATCCTTGGGTTGGGAAGATCCCCTGGAGGAGGCAGTGGCCACCCACTCCAATATTTTTGCCTGGAGAATCCCCATGGACAGAGGAACCCGGCGGGTTACAGTCCGCGGGGTGGCAAAGAGTCAGACACGACTGAGCGACTAAGCATAGAGAGAGAGGAGCCATCTCTGTTTTCTATCAAGGCTTTCTAAAACTGTATGCTCACCCTACTCAACAGACAGGGAAACTGAGTCCAAGAGAGTTATGTGATTCACCTGATGAAGAAAAGATGGAACTCAGATTGTATGATCCCTAAATGAAATAGCCTTAAAAATGACACCAACTGCTTCTCAGGTCCTACCAAGACAAGCTTAACTGGAAGCTGAGCTGAGGGAGAACTGAGAGACGGGAAATACGAAGAAAGGGGCATGTCCCCGGTAGATTTCCCTGGGTGAATTCAATCCACCTTTTTACAGGTGGGAGATTATAGGTTATATAACTACCCCCCAGATAAAGCAATCTCTTCCCTCATGACAACCATACCCGGAAAACTTGAATCCCAGGGTGTTCAGATTTCTGCAGAGTCGATTTCCCAGAATGTATTTAGGTAGGATCTGGTGCCCTGGGCACAATCCTTCGACCTGGCACCATGGAGCTGGGAGGGGCCTTCACCATCTTTCTAGCACTCTGCTTGTCTTATCTTCTCATCCTCATCGCCTGGAAACGGATGAGCAAAGGGGGAAAGCTGCCGCCTGGTCCCACACCAATCCCTTTCCTGGGGAATGTGTTGCAAGTTCGTACTGATGCCACTTTTCAGTCTTTCATGAAGGTGAGTCTGTCTAGTTTCACACAACTGGAAGCAACTCATTCTATAGACAGATAGTGTAGAAATTTCTGAATTCTATAACAAAGGCTCTTGGAAACAGAAACTTAGATTTCTGGAATTCCAGAATCTTAAACTCTTGGAAACACAGACTCCTAGCACATTGAAACTTAAGACCTTCAGGACTTTGGAATAACAGTACCTTCTTCTTTAAAAAGAAAAATATGTTGCATTGCACTACTTGTTAGAGTTTTTTTAATGTGGACCATTTTTAAAGTCATTGTTGAATTTATTATAATATTGATTCTGTTTTTCTGTTTTGGTTTTCTGGCCACAAGGAATGTGGGATCCTAGTTCCCTGAACAGGGATCAAACCCACACCCCTTGCATAAAGTCTTAACCATGGGTCCTCCAGGCAAGTCCCTGGAATAAACAGTACCTTAGACACAAGAACTCTTGCACTCTGTTGGTCTTCAAACTTTGACTCAGTATCATGAAATCTTAGGATTCTAGAAAAGGTAGCACTTCAGGACAAGACACATGGATCTTGGAATTCCATCTCATCTAGGTCCACTGTTTCACAATGCGAAAACCAAGGCTTGTAGCAGCATTGGGGGATCTTGCCCAGGATCACAGAAGCCAAGACTTCTGTGTCTCTTTATCAGTAGCCTTTCCAAGCCCAGGACTCAATTTTATCTGTTGTTCCCATGTTCCTTGAAATCGCCATCTCCTAAAATCCTTGACTGGTTGTCACTTGGTACTGCAATCAGCCACCTCCTCTTATGTCTTCCTTCACTCAGCTCAAGGAGAAATATGGTCCAGTCTTCACTGTGTACATGGGTCCCCGGCCAGTGGTTGTTTTATGTGGACATGAAGCAGTGAAGGAGGCCCTGGTAGATCGAGCAGATGAGTTCAGTGGCCGTGGAGAACTGGCTTCAATAGAGCGAAACTTCCAAGGTCATGGTAGGTAACAACAATAAAAAATAAAAACAAAATGCAATCACAAAGTGTAATGTACTTCTATGTCCCCGTTTCTTTGATAAGTACTCTAAATGAATTACTGCTGTGACTTCTCTGAGAGCTATAATGTCTTCCTAATTTTGCAAATGAGGAATTTGAGAATAAGAAACGTCAGTAGTAACAGTAAGTGGTAGAATCATTTTACTTTGAACCCAAACTGTCTGACTCTAGAGGGTTGTCTGTGTTACTTGTGTTATTTTTGATGGACGAATGGCACTCTTGTAATTCACCAAGCTCTCATACACAAGCTTACCTTTTATCTTCCTATATATACACACACAGACCCAACCCATAGGTCTCTGCATCCTCCACAGATACCTTTCTAATGTTCCCTACACATCAATCTCTAATGGCTCCAGAGGCAGAATTCCAGAATTCTTGCCTGGAGAATCCCATGGACAGAGGAGCCTGGAGGGCTACAGTCCATAGGATTACACAGAGTCAGACACGACAGAAGCAACTTAACATGCACGCACATCTCTAACTGCCCACATCATTCAATTCCAAGCAGCCTCACACCATTTTTTGATACTTTCATTCGCCCATTTATCCCTATACCTTTCCTTCCATCCATCCATTTTTCCATTGATCCATACAGCCACCAAAAAATTCATTCATTCATTAGACTTCCTATACAAATATCAGTATCTTTCCAATAAATTGATCTGTACATCATCTTCTCATTTACCCATCTAGTCATCGTTTCATCCATCCACTCATTTTTCCTTCCATCATTCATCCATCTATTAATCATTCAGTCATCCATACACCTTTCCAGCCATTTACCCATACATCTCCAACCATCCATCCATTAGCCCTTTACCCATCCAGAAGTCTTTCATCCATCCATTAACATCAGTCATTCCAGTCACAAACACTTTCTTCCATTCATTAATCTATCAAAATCATTTCATCAAATTTCCAAACATTAATTCACTGATGCATGCACATCCAGAAACTTCTAAATACTATTTACTACATGGTAACTCCTTTTGTGTGGGTGTATTAGTGTACAGGTATGATCTTCTGTGAACACTTACACATATGCCTAGAGAATCCGAGTAGAACATAGAATATACAAAGTCTCCCCATTCCAAAGTACTCTATATGACATTCTATCTATGCTTGTATACTAAATTGCTTCAGTCATGTCCAACTCTTTGTGACCCTATGGACCCTAGCCCACCAGGCTTCTCTGTCCATGGGATTCTCCAGGCAAGAATACTGGAATGTGTTGCCATGCCCTCCTCTAGGGGATCTTTCTGACCCAGGGACAGAACTTGCATCTCCTGTGGCTTCTGCATTGCAGGCAGATTCTTTACCACTGAGCCACCAGGGAAGCCCATTCTATCTATACCTCCCCCCATATTCCTAGGCATCCTTCCATTATATGTAGTTATCCAGTTCCAGGTCTCTAGCCTGTAAGAAACTCTCCTTAATCTCCCACAGTCATTACTAGCCTGATTCCTTCTCCTTCGTCTCAGTCCTGAGCTGTTTCGGGGGGTCCAGTAGGGAGGGAACTTTAGTTTCCCCATTAAACCTGGAAGGTTGAACGAGGCATCCCCGAGGGGAAAGTTTACAGCTGTCGTATCCTGGCACCCTCCCAGTCCAGCACAGAGCTGGGCACAAACAAGAGGGGAGACGGGAGTCTGACCCTGAAATCCCGGCAGGTGTCGCTCTGGCTAATGGAGAACGATGGAGGATTCTCCGACGCTTCTCCCTGACCATTCTTCGGGACTTCGGGATGGGAAAGAGGAGCATTGAGGAGCGGATCCAGGAGGAGGCCGGCTTCCTACTAGTGGAGTTACGCAAGACCAAGGGTATGTGGGACACCAGCCAGGAGGGCTCCAAGGGGACTAGGGGGGCGGGGTTGTAGAGAGCTCAGTCATGAGAAGATAGGCCTTAGTGGGAGAAAGTTTGGGAGTGGGAAATGATGAAGAAGATGAAGGATTTACTGCGATTTCTAGCCAGATTCCATGCTAAAAGTTAACACTTAAAGACCCTTAGAGATCCCTTGTCCAGGGACTTGAGTCAGCGGATCTTCAGGAGTTTTTGAGCTCTTCATATCAAGTACGGATTTTGGCAATATGTGAGTTTATGCCTTTTTGTGGTGATAGGATTAAGTTTATCTATCTAACTAGGTATATATTCACACATACACATACAAAAACACAAAATTTGGGTAAAAACCATATAATGTAAAAATTTGCCCCTCTATTTCTGAGGGCATGAGAGGATGAAATGGTTGCATGGCATCACCAAATCAATGGACATGAATGTGGGCCAACTCCAGGAGATGACGAGGGACAGGAAGGCCTGGTGTGCTGCAGTCCATGGGGTCCCCAAAAGTCGGACATTTACTGGCAACTCAACAACAAACTGTTCTAAGTGTACAGTTCAGTTGTGTTACATATATTTACATCGTTGTGAAAGATTTTTAGAACCTTTTCACTTGTGAATCTGAAACATTATACCATTTCATTAGATTTTTAAAGGGATCCATGATGCACCCAAAAATAAGATCTGGAATATCTGGGGTCTAATGAAAAAAGACACAGAGGCCAAGAAATACAGATATGAATAGATTAGATACAGAAATAGAGACAAATTTCTCTACATTAGACTCCTCCCTTGGGCTCCATGGGTGCCAAATGGTCTGCATAAAGACTCTGTATACTCAGGTACCCCTAGAAATTATTTGCAAAACTAATTGTGATTATATGCATTGCTTTAGGGAAATTGTCCCCATACCCACTGGCCTGACCAGCATCTCGTTTTATAGATGGTGCAGCTGAGGCCAAGGGAAGAATTTTTTTTTAAATAGTGCAGATGGAATCATTGGTAGAGATAGACTGAATCTAGCCATTCTTTTCTATTTTTTAATGCATCCCTTACCTCCACTTCTTTCCAAAACTCTGTGACTCTCCAGGGCAGTGAACTTCTTGTTTTTCTTCTTTTTTAATATTTTTGGCTGTGCCAGTTCTTCGTTTCTGTGCAGGCTGTCTCTAGTTGCAGCGAGCAGGGGCTACTCTTTGTTGTGGTGTGGGCTTCTCATTGCAAAGCACAGGCTCTTGACAAGAGGGCTTCAGTAGTTGCAGCGCACAGAATCAGTAGTTGTAGCTCTCAGGCTCTAGAGCACTCAGGCTCAGTAGTTGTGGGGCATTGGCTTAGCAGCTCCACAGCACATGGAATCTTCCCAGACCAGGGATCAAACCTGTGCCCCCTGCATTGGCAGGTAGATTTTTATCCACTGTACCACAAAGGAAGTCCAAGTATAATTAACTTCTAATAACAAAAAATAAGGATTCAGCCCCACCAGCATCTCTCACATGTTTATTACATGTCAGGCACTGTGCTAAGTATTTTACATTGATAAAAGTTAACACTTAAAGACCCTTAGAGATCCCTTGTCCAGGGACTTGAGTCAGCGGATCTTCAGGAGTTTTTGAGCTCTTCATATCAAGTACGGATTTTGGCAATATGTGAGTTTATGCCTTTTTGTGGTGATAGGATTAAGTTTATCTATCTAACTAGGTATATATTCACACATACACATACAAAAACACAAAATTTGGGTAAAAACCATATAATGTAAAAATTTGCCCCTCTATTTCTGAGGGCATGAGAGGATGAAATGGTTGCATGGCATCACCAAATCAATGGACATGAATGTGGGCCAACTCCAGGAGATGACGAGGGACAGGAAGGCCTGGTGTGCTGCAGTCCATGGGGTCCCCAAAAGTCGGACATTTACTGGCAACTCAACAACAAACTGTTCTAAGTGTACAGTTCAGTTGTGTTACATATATTTACATCGTTGTGAAAGATTTTTAGAACCTTTTCACTTGTGAATCTGAAACATTATACCATTTCATTAGATTTTTAAAGGGATCCATGATGCACCCAAAAATAAGATCTGGAATATCTGGGGTCTAATGAAAAAAGACACAGAGGCCAAGAAATACAGATATGAATAGATTAGATACAGAAATAGAGACAAATTTCTCTACATTAGACTCCTCCCTTGGGCTCCATGGGTGCCAAATGGTCTGCATAAAGACTCTGTATACTCAGGTACCCCTAGAAATTATTTGCAAAACTAATTGTGATTATATGCATTGCTTTAGGGAAATTGTCCCCATACCCACTGGCCTGACCAGCATCTCGTTTTATAGATGGTGCAGCTGAGGCCAAGGGAAGAATTTTTTTTTAAATAGTGCAGATGGAATCATTGGTAGAGATAGACTGAATCTAGCCATTCTTTTCTATTTTTTAATGCATCCCTTACCTCCACTTCTTTCCAAAACTCTGTGACTCTCCAGGGCAGTGAACTTCTTGTTTTTCTTCTTTTTTAATATTTTTGGCTGTGCCAGTTCTTCGTTTCTGTGCAGGCTGTCTCTAGTTGCAGCGAGCAGGGGCTACTCTTTGTTGTGGTGTGGGCTTCTCATTGCAAAGCACAGGCTCTTGACAAGAGGGCTTCAGTAGTTGCAGCGCACAGAATCAGTAGTTGTAGCTCTCAGGCTCTAGAGCACTCAGGCTCAGTAGTTGTGGGGCATTGGCTTAGCAGCTCCACAGCACATGGAATCTTCCCAGACCAGGGATCAAACCTGTGCCCCCTGCATTGGCAGGCAGATTTTTATCCACTGTACCACAAAGGAAGTCCAAGTATAATTAACTTCTAATAACAAAAAATAAGGATTCAGCCCCACCAGCATCTCTCACATGTTTATTACATGTCAGGCACTGTGCTAAGTATTTTACATTGATAATTAACATTGAATGCTCATGAGCCAATGAGGTGGCTATTTTTTTAATCTTCACATATTTTTATCTATTTATTTGGCAGCACCAGATCTTAGCTGAGGCACACAGGATCTTTAGTGGCAGCATGTGGGATCCAGTTCCCAAACCAGGAATTGAACTCAGGCCCCCTGCACTGGGAGCATGGAGTCTCAGCCACTGGACCACTAGGGAAGTCCCTCCGGTGCTTATTAAACCAACCTGCACATTGGGAAAGTTAGACTCAAAACACAAACATGAAATCACTATCAAATGCTATTAAGCAGTTGAGCCAGGACACATATCTGCAACTGAATGGTGTCACATTCCATGTTCCTACTCATGGCCTCTAACTTCCATTATTCAGGGGCTCGCATCGAACCTACTTTCTTCCTGAGCCGCACTGTCTCCAACGTCATCAGTTCCGTCGTCTTTGGAAGCCGCTTTGACTATGAGGACGAGCAGTTCCTGAAGTTGCTGCAAATGATCAACCAGAGTTTCATAGAAATGAGCACCTCCTGGGCCCAGGTGCCCATCAGCCATCTCTCTGTCCACCCCCAACCTCTGTTAACTAAGCCCCTGCCTCTTCCTCACTAACTCCTCCCCACAATCTTGGGAGGCAAGTATCAAGATGCCTTGGGTCTCCAAGAAGCAAATAGCCTCATGCAATTTTCAGATCCTGTGCTGGATGCTAAGCCCAGCTATTAGACTCCAGACTCAGCCCAGGCTGGTCTCTGGTGCCCATTGCTAACAAACATCCCTTGCTTATTCCCCACAGTTATATGACATGTATTCTGGAATCATGCAATATTTGCCAGGAAGACACAATCGCATCTACTACTTGATAGAGGAGCTCAAGGACTTCATTGCCTCCAGGGTCAAGATCAACGAAGCCTCGCTTGACCCCCAGAACCCTCGGGACTTCATTGATTGCTTCCTCATCAAGATGCACCAGGTCCCTCTTCCTCTGCCCCCAGTCCTTTCCTCTCATCTTCCCAATCCCTAGCGCCTACAACTTTAGACTCATCTGTAAACATATTGATGACAGTATGTCAAGCGCCAAGCATTGTTTCACCAGGTTGACTTTTATTTATAGATGAGATATAGAAACTGTTAAGGTATGAACTCTTACACTCTTAAACTTTGAAGCTAAAACTTCTAAGAACATGGACACTTAAAATCGTACACCTTTCTAATCTGATACACCAGAGGCTTGCAAATACAGAAGCGTAGAATGCATTTTTAGAGTCTTAGAATTTGCCAAGCTGAAACATTTAAAGCCTAAGCTTTGGAGTTTAAACTTTAAAATTAAAAGTTTAATGTCTTCCCAGCTTCCAATGCAAGGGGTGTGGTTTCTATCTCTGGTTAGGGAACTACGATTCCATATGCCACGTGGTGTGGCTAAGAAATCAATTTTTTTTTCAAAAATTTTTAAAAGCTTAGTCTTAGAGATATAGCAATTTAGAAACTTAGTAACTCTGCATCATGGATTCTTAGGATTTTATAAATTTAGAATTTTCTATTTTTCTACTGTAGAACCTCTGTACTCGGCAGGTATTTTGTTTTGTTTTGTTTTGTTTCTTGACAAACAGATATTTGATTGAAATTTGACCTTCATTTATTTTTTATTTATTGGTTTGGCTGCGTTGGGTCTTAGTTGCAGCATGTGCACCAGAGCTCAGTATCTCCAAGGCACATGGGATCTTACTTCCCCAACCAGGGATCGAACCTGCAACCCCTGAATTGCAAGGCAGATTCTTTAGCACTGGACCACCAGGGAAGTCCTTCAACAGTTTGAAATCATGTACCCTAATGTCTTAGAACTTTCAAATCTGGCAAGGCAATCTCCACTTCCCTCTCCCTCATTCTCCCCATTGTTCACTACACTCCACCTATCCTGGCAGCTACACTGGCCTCCTCTTTGTTTCCTCACCAGACACACCTCTGCCTCAGGACCTTTGCTCTGACTGTTTCCTCTCCCAGATACTCACCTGGTTCACCCATTGTTGTGTTTTCACAAAGCCCTACCTTATACACAGGGAGAAAACAAGACGAAGGCAGAAGATGGTGAGTCTATTTATCATCTCTCTCATTTTCAGGATAAAAACAACCCCCACACAGAATTCAACCTCAAGAATTTGGTCCTGACCACCCTCAACCTCTTTTTCGCTGGTACTGAGACAGTGAGCTCTACACTCCGCTATGGATTGCTGCTCATGATGAAGCATCCTGAGGTGGAAGGTGAGTGTCCACCTGAGCCGCTTACCTGGCAGACCTCATTCCCCACTGGAAAGAAGACATCATCCTGAAACTTTAGAATCACACAGCTTTCAACTCTTCACACTTTAGAACCTTAGGATGTGGAATCTCAGAATCCCTGGCTTGGAAAGTCATTTAATTTCATCTTCTACTTGGTGCCTGTCATGGTTTCTTATCCAATACTTTGGCCACCTGATGCAAAGACCGTGATGCTGGGAAAGATTGAAGGCAAAACGAGAGGGGGCGGCAGAGGATGAGATGGTTATAGATAGCATCACTAACACAATGGACACGAATCTGAGCAGACGCTGGGAGACGGTGAAGGACAGGGAAGCCTGGCGTATTATAGTCCATGAGGTCACAAAGAGTCACGACTTAGTGACTGAATTACAAGAAGATAGTTTCTTATGTGGTGAGTTATGAGCAACTTAGTAGCTTAAAGCCACAATAATCTATTATCTTAACAGTTCTGAACTTCAGGAGTTCAAATAGGCTTTTACTGGGTCAAACCAGGGTTGATCTGACTCCTTGCCTTTTCCAACCTCTAGAACTGTATTTCTTGCATTCCTGGGCTCCATTTCCAAAGCCAGCAGCATTGCATCTTCAAATCTCTCTTTGTATCCATTGTCACATCTCCTTCTCTGACTGACCTTTCTGCCTCCTTCTTTTTTTTTTCTTTTTTTTTTTTTTTTGCCTCCTTCTTATACAAACACTTGTGGTTACTTTTAGAGCCAATATGGATTATTCAGGCTAATCTCCCCATCTCAAAACCCTTAAGTTAATTATATCTGCAAATTGTCCTTGGTCATGGAAGGTAACATCCCCAGGTTCCAGGGATTAGAAGGTAGTATCCTTGATGGCCATTATTTGGCCAACTATAGTGGCAAAATCAAATAGAACCCATTGCCAGTAAACTGTAATCTGGTGTGGTTGGGTAAGTCCAGTAATGAGAAACTCATTTACACACCAAAGGAAAATTCCCAGTTTTGGCCCCTCTCCCTTCTAATGTGGCTTCTCCGGTGAATCAGCAGTAAAGAATCTGCCTGCAATGCAGGAGATGCGAGTTCGATCCCTGAGTCAGGAAGATCTCCTGGAGGAGAGAATGGCAACCCACCCTAGTATTCATGCCTGGAGAATCCCATGGACAGAGGAGCCTGGCAGACTATATATAGTCCATAGGGTCACAAAGAGTTGGACACAACTGAGTACCTGAGCATACCTTCTAATGTAATTCAAAACAAACTAACAAATTTCTCTTGTTACAGACAATGGGAGAGACTAACATTTCCATTCAGACTCATCTAGTTTCTCCTTCATTGTCTGAGTTGTCTTTTACTAATATAAATCATCTAATATCTAATGGACACCTCAATCACTTGCATACTGGATTACATGTGCAATTTACAACTCCATGGGCTTTATGCATTGTTGTTGTTGTTCAGTCACTGAGTCGTGTCTGACTCTTTGCCACCCCATGGACTGCAGCACACCAGGTTTCTCTGTCCTTCAGTATCTCCAGATACGTCTTTCCAGAGTTTGCTCAAACTCACCATTGAGTCAGTGGTGCAATCCAACCATCTCATCCTCTGTTGCCCTCTTCTCCTCCTGCCTTCAATCTTTCCCAGCATCAGAGTCTTTTCCAATGAATTGGCTCTTTGCATAAGATGGCCAAAGTATCAGAACTCCAGCTTCAGCATCAGTTCTTCCAGTGAATATGCAGGGTTGCTCTCCTTTAGGAATGACTGGTTTGATCTTCTTGCTGTCCAAGGGACTCTCAAGAGTCTTCAGCACCACAATTCAGAAGCATTGATTCTTTGGCACTAAGCCTTCTTTATGGTCCAACTCTCACATCTGTACGTGACTACTGGAAAGAGTGTTTATTAGCCCCACCAATGTGTCCACAGTTAAGAATAAAGAGACAGTCCGTATACATACAGAGCTGAAGACACAAACCTATGACCCAATCCTGGCCTCCAGAAACACCTCCTGCATCTTTGTCTGCTGTGTGTTCTGGTTTTTTCCAGCCAAGATCCACAAAGAGATTGACCAGGTGATTGGACCACACCGGATCCCAAGTGTCGATGACCGAGCTAAGATGCCCTACACAGATGCCGTGATCCATGAGATCCAGAGACTTACAGATATCGTGCCCATGGGCGTCCCCCATAATGTCATCCGGGACACTCATTTCCGAGGCTACCTTCTGCCCAAGGTGGAGCTGCACCTCCGCTGTCATCCCTGCCTCCTCTTATACCCCACTGTACCCCCACTCCTCCTGGTTCCCTACCGTTCTCCATACTCCAACACTGATTTCTCCTAACTGAGCCCATCTTCACCCCAGGGTACCGACGTCTTTCCCCTTCTTGGCTCTGTCCTCAAAGACCCCAAATACTTCCGCTACCCAGATGCCTTCTATCCACAACACTTCCTGGACGAGCAGGGCCACTTCAAGAAGAATGAAGCCTTTGTGCCTTTTTCATCTGGTAGGTGTCTATGGTCTGAGTCCCCCCACCCCCAACAGCTCTGCAGAAACACGCTAGATATGTCCCCCAATCATTAGTCTGTATTTGACATTCAGGTTTGAATGGGAAGCTGGGTGCTATTTCATAGACTCATACAATACTAGAATCCCAGAATTCCAGAATGATGGAATATCAGGACCATGGACTCTGATAAGTAGAAAAGTAATTGCACTAAATAGAGGCCAGCATATTTTTTCTAAGGGCCAAAATATAAAATATTTTAGGTTTCGCTGGTCTTTGAACTATGCAGTCTACACCATTGTACTGTGAAAGCACCCATAGACATTCATAAATAATGATGCTGATACTGAGTCGTGTCTGACTCTTTGCAACCCCATGAGCTGTTGCCCACCAGGCTCATCTGTCTGTGGAATTTTCCAGGCCAAAATACTGGAGTGGGTTGCCGTTTCCTCCTCCAGGGGATCTTTCCATCCCAGGGATTGAACCCATGTTACCTGTGTCACAGGCAGGTTCTTTACCTGCTGAACCATCCTGGGGAATTCTCTGGTGATCCAGTTGTTAGGACTCCAAGCTTCCACAGCATGGGGCCAGGTTCAATCCCTGGGGGAAATAAGACCCTGAAAGCTGCATGGCATGGCCAAAAAACAATAAAAAGAAAAAAGCATGTCTGTGATGGATGCAGAATAAAAAAAACTATGCACAGTAACACTTGAATTTTAATTTTCACATGTCACAAAATATTATTTTTCTCCTGATTTTTTAACCACTTAAAAATGTTAAAGTATTCTTATTTTGCCGACAGTATAAAACAGGCAGAGGAAAGATATACCCAATGAATAGCAGCTTGGTAACTCACAATACAGTATCTTTGAAAAATCGTATTTGAGTGTAAGCTATATTGAACCTGATGTCAGTGCAGCACACTCCACCACTTACAAGCACCATCAGTGGGGCCATGAATGAGTTACTTCAGCTTCCTGTCTGTAAAATGGAGACTAATCTCTCCAAAGCATTGGAAGAGTGGTTGACAAACAGCAAGCACTATTGTTATTAAAATTTTTATTGGAGTATAGTTGATTTATAAGGTAGTGTTAGAATTTGCTGTAGAACAAAGTGAATCAGTTACACATGTATATACATTCACTTCTTTTTTTTTTTTTTTTTGGTAGATCAAGCACTATCTAAGTGTGAGCTTTTGTTTTCCCTCACCAGTGTCTGGCACCTTGTAGGCACTTCTAAACCTTTAAAAGAACCAGAAATGAAAAGACTTTAAATGCATGGATCCTTTACAACCATTCTGTCTTACAGTCTGTTGGAATGTGCGCCATCAGTGAAGTAGCTTCCACGTGTTGAGCCCCCTATATACGTGGAAGATCCTAGCGGAGCATTAACTGTAGAAACCCACTGCATCTTTATGATAACCCTAAAAAGTGGGTATTATCATGACCCCAGAGACACAGAGGAGGCAGCTGGGGCTGAGCAGTGGTGAGACTGGAACCCTCTCCATGATTCCGGGTCTGCCTCTCCCCACTATTCCCCCCGCCCCCTTTCTCCCCTCTCTGTGCCCACAGGAAAGCGCATCTGCCTGGGCGAGGCCATGGCCCGCATGGAACTCTTCCTCTACTTCACCTCCATCCTTCAAAACTTCTCCCTACGCTCTCTAGTACCACCTGCTGACATCGACATCACGCCCAAGGTCTCAGGCTTTGGCAACATCCCTCCGACCTACGAGCTCTGCTTCATGGTCCGCTGAGCGCCCCCTATTGGACATGGAAGGAACCGTCGGAGAACAGAGCTCTGCCCAAGTGTCCAGGCGCACCCAACCTCTTCATCCCCCTTCAATTCTCACAACGATCCTAAGAGAAGGCACTACTACACTGGTCAGCAGGGGTCATCCCAAAATATGGAGCTGTATATCTGCTACATCCATCAGAAAAGCAATGCCCTGGCCAAGACTTTGGCAAAAGCTTGCAGATTTTAAGTTCATTTGTTCACCTCCACCTAGGTTTCTATCTGTACCAAATTCTCATTGTAGACCTCCATGTCGTTATGCTGTTCCGTTGACCTTTCCCCGGTAATGACCAAAGGTAGATAATGAAAAATAAACATAATAAAATTTTTAAATGGTGTGATGCATTAGAAAAGCAAAGTAGGGATTTCCCTGGTAGTCCAATGGCTAAGACTCTGAGCTCCCAGTGCAGGGAAGCTGATCAGGAAACTAAGTCCCACAAGCTACAACTAAGAGCTTGCAGGCCGCAACTAAGACCTGCTGCAGCCAAATAAATAATTTCTCAAAAAAAAAAAGAGAAAAGAAATAAGAATTCCAGAACTGGAATTTTAAATCGGTGGCATGAGCGGTTTCACAAGGCTATAAGGAGCAAGCTGTTCAGGCATCTGGGAAGGGAATGTTCCTGGAAGAACAATTAAAAAGGGGAGAGCTGTAAGGCAAAAGACTGGCTGTGTGCTCATGAACCCACAAGCAGACAGGTATGGCTGGAGTAGAGGAGGAAGGGAGAGCATAGGAGTGAATGAAATGAAGGCGAAGGGTTAAAGGGCCAGATTATGTGGGGCCTTCGTGAGGACTTGAGTGCAGTGGAGGTCTTTGGGAGGGTTGGAGAACATAAGATGACATGTATTGACATGTTTTAAATGGCTTGTGCCGGCAGTTATCAATGAATGAACTGAGGGAGGGCGTAAGGACCAGAGCAAGGACCAACCAGGAAGCTATGACAAGCAGCAGTGTTGACCCAGACACAGTAGAACCAGTGGAGGTGGGGAGAAGATGACAGGTTTGGAATTTATTATGATGCACCAGACTGCAGGGCCTTCCCAGGTGGCTCAGTGATAAAGAATCCGCCTACCAACACAGGAGACACAAGAGACACAGATTCAATCCCTGGGTCAGGAAGATCCCCTGGAGAAGGAAATGGCAACCCACTCCAGTGTTCCTGCTTGGAGAATCCCATGGACAGAGGAGCCTGGTGGGCTACAGTCCATGGGGTCGCAAAGAGTCAGACACATCTGACTAAACAAAAACACGAGAGTGCATTTGCTACTGTATTGAAGGTAGGGCATGAGAGAAAGAGGGGGTTCGAGTATCACTCTAGGGATAACAGCTCATCCTTTACAGCTTCCTTCTCACCATGACACCCCCCACCAGAGACTCCCAAGTCCCCTAACAGCCAAGGTTCCTGTTTTTAATCAACATCAAATGTCATTGGCTATTTTAAGTAGAAAAGTCTGCTGGCTATTGGAAGATGATTGGTTTGCTCACAAAATCTATGTGAATTCTGGACAGCCAAGCTAAGAATATGAGTAGCAAAAAAACAGCTGGGTCAGGAGAACATTACCCAAAGGAATGGCCAGGATCATCTGTCGAGGGGCTGCTGCTGCCATCGCCACCCAGCCAACCCCCAGGCACTGAACACGACTGCCTTGGAACTCTCGACCCATTGAAACCACTGTGGACAACTTCCTAGTTTGTCTGTGTTTTTGTGTCACTTCCTCCAGCAAGAGTCAAAGTTCCCAGCAGGATGATCCAGTTAGTCAAGCCACAGTCAGGATGTGGCGAGGAAGAATTCATGGTACCCATTCAGCTGCTGTGGCTGGAGGCAAAGACTTTCCTCTGATAAAGAGGCATACAATAGGGGATTTTCTCAAAACTGGAAGAGAGTTTTGAGACAGGGTATGGGCTTCCCAGGTGGTACTAGTGGTAAAGAACCTGTCTGCCAGTGCAGAAGACATAAGAGACACGGGTTCGATTCCGGGGCCGGGAAGATCCCCTGGAGGAGGGCACGGCAACCCACGCCAGTATTCTTGCCTGGGAAATCCCATGGACAGAGGAGCCTGGAGGGCTACAGTCCATGGGGTTGCACAGAGTCAGACATGACTGAAGCGACTTAGCACGCATGCCCACACACATGATAGAGAACAAATGCCATGATGGACAATAGGTAAACTGAGTCCTCTGGGAAAACAGAGGTTTAGACACAGCTGGGAGTGCATCATTTTATTGGAGGGCAATGTGTGTGAAAGACAAAAGAGGAAGAAAGTAGAATGGGTCAGGAAGAGTCTTCAGACCAGGGTATAGATTTGACATCCATGAAAGGAAAGCCAGGAGGAAGAAGAGTCGGGCAATAAGAGACTAAAACCACCAGTTACCGGAAGGGTGTGGAAACTGCCCCAAGACAAGGTGGATCCTGAAGGTGCTGTGGCTAGAGGCAGTCATCTCACTGCACTCCTTGCAGCTAAATGGCAAGTTCCTTCTTGAAGGGAGATCTTAATGGCTCATCTCCATGCCCACCACAGACACAGACATACAAACACACATCATTAAAGCTTTGGTACACCTTTGATGAACATAGAACTTCAGAGCTACAAATACCCTTATACATGTACAGGCCAATGGTCATCTAACAGTTTTAGTTATGAAAAATCTTGCTCAACTTATCTTATGTACAACTTTAATACATGAAACAGGGCAGAGAATTGCTGGACTTTCTCTGGGAAGAACTCAAGACCCTCAAGAGAGCCTTCATTTATTGATGAGGAGAGTCAAATTAGAAACTTTCCAGAAATTTCAAGGGCTATTCATTCAACATTCAACACACATTCCTATTCTAAATAGGGCCCTGTAGAAGGACCTGATTACATAATGATGATGAGGTTACATTCATTCAGTGACCACACAGGACTCACAGTCCAGTGAGACAGACTGACTTATTTCAGAACAGTAACAGCCAGAGTGGCCAAGACTCTGATGAAAGGACAGGATATTGTCAAAGGTTATGATGTAAGAAGAGAAGCCCAAGGGTTTGGGGTGACACCAGGCAGTATGAATAAGGTTTGAGAGGGGATGTCCCTGGCAATCCAGTAGTTAGATCACGCTTCCAATGCAGGGGGCGAGGGTTCCATCCCTGGTCAGGGAACTAAGATCCCATATGCCAAACGGTATCAGTTCAGTTCAGTCACGAATGGCAAACCACTTCAGTATTCCTGTCTTGCCTTGAGAACCCCATGAACAGTATGAAAAGGCCAAGTGGTATGGCTAAAATTTAAAAAAAAACAAAACAAAAGACTGGAGAGTTGATGTATCTTTCTATTTCCTTGGAGTAAATTCCTCTCAGAAACTAGGTGAATCAACTGTCTTTATATGTCACTGGTAGGAAGAACCAATCAGGATATATGAGTCAGAGCAAACATTTTCTTTGCTTTTTTTTTNTTTGGTCTTTTTGAGAAGTTTTTTTCTTCTCTTTTTTAAAGTTTATTTTTGGTTGTGCTGGGTCTTCACTGCTCTGTGGGGCTTTCTCTAGTTGCGGTGAGCAGGAACCACTCTTCATTGAGGTGCGTGGGCTTCTCACTGCAGAGGCCTGTTTCATTTCAGAGCACAGTCTCTAGGCACACAGGCTTCAGTAGCTGCAGTTTGAGGTTGCTAGAGCTTGGGCCCAGGAGTTGTGGCTCACAGACTTAGTTGCCCTGTGCCCTGTGAAATCTTTCCAGACCAGGGATGGAAACTTCACCCCCTGCTTTGGGAGGCAGATCCTTATCCACTGTACCACTTCCCTTTCAGGGAAGTCCTGAAAAGTTTTACTGAGATATTCACGGGTCATAAAAATCCACCCACTTAGAGTGTACAATTAAATGTTCTTTGATACATTCATAGATAGATGCAATCATCACCACAGTCAATTTGAGAACATTTTCATCACCTCAAAAATAAGGAACTCCCTACTGGTCCAGTGGTTAATACTCTGTGCTTCCACTGCAGGGGGCACAGGTTCGATCCCTAGTCCGGAAAATAAGATCCCACATGCCTGCCTCACGATGTGGCAAAATAATAATAAACTTTATACCTTCTAGATGTCACTCCCCTACTCTGTCACCCCACTCCCCATCCTAAGCAACAATTAATCTACTTTCTATCTCTATAGGTTCTCTATTCTTGACTTTCATGTAAATGGAATCATACAATCATGTGATCGTTTGTGTGACTGGCTTCTTTTGCCTAGCATAATGTTTTCAAGTTTCCTGCTAGTGATAGTATGGAACAGTACTTTATTCTTTTCCATGGCTGAATAAAATTCAATTGTATAGATACACCATATTTTTCTTATCCATTTTTCTGTTAATGGATGTATTAACTTGCTAAGCCTGGTAGCTTCCTAGTGTAAGCAGAGTTGGTCACTCAGCCGTGTCCAACTCTTTGTGACCCCGTGGACTGTAGCCCAGCTGGCTCCTCTGTTCATGGAATTCTCCAGGGGAGAATAGTGGAGCAGGTGGCCATTTCCTTCTTCAGGGGATCTTCCCGACTCAGGCCTCGAACCCAGGTCTCCCACATTGCAGGCAGATTCTTTACTGTCTGAGCCACCAGCAAAGCCCAAGGAACCAATGGAAAAGCATCCTAGGTACCATGTCAAAGTACCACAAACTGGGTGGCTTAAAAAAGAAACCCAGAAACTTTGGCCATGGCTCATGACTTGAAGTAACCTCCACTGGCCTTCAAAGTCAAACATTCTGGGGGCTCATCTTCCTGCTGCTGGACTTCCTGGTTGGGGAGTGAGGTTTGGAACCTCTTGGTCCTTGGCAAGCATCTCTACAATTGTAATTATCCTCCTGTTTGTGGGTTGCCCACCTGGGGGTATAGGTCTTGACTACACTACATTTCTGCCTCTGCTACCCACCTCATTGTGGTTCCTTCTTTATACTTGTAGCTGAAGATCTTTTCTGCTAGTCTTCAACCTTTCCTATCAATTGTTGCTCTCTAAATAGTTGTAATTTTGGTGTGTCTGTAGAAGAAGGTATGCTCAGGGTCTTCCTGCTCTGCCATCCTGGCCACTTCAGCAGGTGTTCTATGAACAGGTGCTTAATAAATGAACCATTTGTCCAAATTTTCTCTCCATTTCCCAGTCCTACACCGAATAGTCCCTCAAGAGCACAGCTCTTTTTTTAAGACTCTCTCCAATGCAAGTTACTCATTCAACCACTTCCAAAGAGTCTCAGGATCAGAATTAGAGTCAATACCTCTTGTATCTCAACACCATTTTGACATCCTTGAGCACAGACATAACAGGTGCTTTTTTAAGTTTTGCCTGCTAAACTCCAAAATTAGGGTCATGCTAGGGTTGTTCTCCATCAGTTGTCTTTTTTCTTGAGTATGGTTATATTTTCCTGTATTTTCATATACCTAGTAATTTTGGATTTTATCCTGTATGTTGCAAGTGATACATTGTAGAGACTCTGGGTTCTGTAATGTTCTGTTGAAGAACACTGATTTGTTTCATTTTCAGGGAACAGTTAACTTGGCTGAGTTCAAATGTTCAGCTCTGAAATCTTATTTCAGTTCTTTTAGTCTTACTGACACCACTTGGAATTTTCCAGCACATAAATAGTTCAAAAAGCAGTCTGAAATTTGGACAGTGTTTATACAAAATTTGGGGGCTGCCCCTCTCTGTCGCTCTCCTTTTTCGATATTTTGCCATCACTACCATCAGATGTTATAATTACCCTAAACTCTGTTCCTTGATCCTTCAAGTCAGAAAAATTCCAATGTTTCTATCTGGGTTTTATCTGCCTCCATGGTACCTTCCAGGGTGCCTGCTTTCAGGCCCATATATATATATATGTGTGTGTGTGTGTGTGTGTGTGTGTGTATTACACACAAAACACAAAATTATCTTCCTCTAGCCCCCTTCAGTATCTGCCTGCTTTATTCACTATCCAGAAATTTCAGGGAATTGGGTTTTTAATGTTTTATTCTGAATTTATAGTTGTTATTTTCAGGATGCTTGATCCTATGTGGGTGCTCAGTCACTCAGTCAAGTCCAACT